CTTCATTCTCCTAATGGCCAGAGTTCCTCAGAGCGTCCTGCCCTCCTTGTCATCATTGAGTGCCATTCAGTTGGCTCCCAGTCGCAGGGACCTTACACACACTGCCCAGCCTTGTGACATCCTCCTGTTTCTTTCTGTGCGTGAGCCCACTGTCGCAGCCATGATATCAACCCCTCTCGTGGAAATTTTCCTCCTCACTGACCCTGCTGAGCATGATCCTTCTTCAGGGATTGGCCTCCTCTACTAACATGTCCAAAGCACGTAACACCAAGTTGTACCATCCTTGACTCCAAAGAGACTTTGCCTCGCATCTTCCAAGATAAATTGATTTTCTCTTTTTGCTGGTATCCTCCCTCCACCCTGAGGCAGTCAGGAGTCACCTGGGAACCTGGCCATTAGGAGCCTGAGCTGCTTCGTCCCCTGTTCTCCCATCTGTCTCTTTAGTTCCTGGGTGATGATTAGTACTCCCAGCCCAGCTCCCCCAATAAACAGCACCCTCATAGATGGTCCTTCTTCAGTGGTTGTTGTTGTTAAGTGCCATCGAGTCGCAGGCGACTCATAGCGACCCTATGAAGGAGAGTACTCAACGCTTGGGTGTCTTTCATCCTCTCCCCAGGTTCATAGGGTTTCCAGAGGCAAGCTATTACAGAAGTGGATGCCACTCCTCCTTCCAAGCTTGTTTTAATCGGGGAGCTCCACCCCATTCTCAGTCTGCATTGGGTAGCCAATCATCAACGCATTTGACACACTAGTGTCACGGTGTTCAGCCTCACAGCAACCACAAGTGACCGCTGTACACTGTATGGCAACTTGTATACCAGGGCTATACAACCTAGAGGAATGTCTGAACAAAAACAAGGAAAGACAGGCCCGAAGGCTGCTGATTAAAAGTTACCCACCTTTGGCTTGGTAGCATCACTTTCTGTCCACTGGGCCAGGGGATCTCTATGTTGATGTTATTGTCATTAAGTGCCATCGAGTCTCAGTGGTAGAGACAAAAAAGGTAGCAGTGCCAAAACCAATAAAGCTTCCAGTCAGAGGATGGCCACTTGGTAAGGAAGAAAGGACAGTAAGAGCAAGCAGTTCTTACTTTCCATGGATGAGGTGTTCAGGGAAGAGCTAAGTGTCCTCCGTTTTTTTTTTTTTTTGTACAAAGGATCTAGTTGCAAAGAAATCACGGTCCTTTCAGCTGCAGCCAGAGGCAATTCAGGCCGTCCTTCCCTCCCCGCAGAGTTCTCCATCCAAGCGGTTACCCATCACCAAAGAATCACTCCTTGCTTCCACTCCCAGAAGCAGGAAGTCACCTAGTGTACCTTTCCAACCTACCTCTCCTAAGCCCTGCATCAGAAAACTAACTTCCTCACAACTGGACCAATAAGCCACATCATGGTAAGTGGGGAAAGTGAATTGAAGCTGTCAAGGATTCGGTTTTATTTGGATCCATAATCAATGCCCATGGGAGTAACAATCACGAACTCAAATGGGGGGGGGGGCACAGTGTATGGCTCAGTGGTGAAGCCTTTGCAAGAAATCAAATGACATTTTTTTTGTGTAGCTGCTGAAGCAATTGGCCGCTTCACCATGAAGCTGAACATCTCCTTCCCAGCCACTAGTTGCCAAAAACTTACTGAAGTGAGTGATAAATACAAACTTTGTACATTTTATGAGAAGCAAGTGGGCACAGAAGTTGGTGCCAACTCTCTTGGTGATCAGTGGAAGGGATATGTTGTCTGGATCAGTGGCGGAAATGACAAACAAGGTTTTCCCATGAAGCAGGGTGTCTTGACCCATGACAGAGTTCACCTGCTGCCGAGTTGGGGGCACTCTTGTCACAGACCGTGGAGAACTGGAGAGAGGAAGCACAAATCTGTCCAGGGTTGCATCGTGGATGCCAATCTGAGTGTTCTCAACTTGGTTATTGTGAAGAAAGGGGAGAAGGAAATCCCAGGACTGATAAGACTGGGCCTCATCTCCTGGGGCCCAAAAGAGCCAGTAGAATTCGCAAACTCTCCAATCTTTCTATGGAAGATGATGTCTGTCCCTGTGTTGTGAGGAAGACACTGAACAAAGAACGCAAGAAACCCAGGACTAAAGCTCCCAAGATTCAGCATCTTGGTACTCCATGTGTCCTGCAGCATAAGCGCCTGTGCATTTCATTGAATGAACAGTGCACTAAGGAGAATAAGGAGGAGGCTGTAGAGGAAACTAAGCTTTTGGTCAAGAGAATGAAGGAGCCAAAGAAAAACACCAGGAGCAGATCGCCAAGAGATGGAGGCTGTCCTCTCTGAGAGCTTCTACCTCCAAATCCGAATCCAGTCAGAAATTGAATTTTCTAGGTGTGGCAAATAAATAAGCTCACATATTAAATATAAAAAAAGAAAAAGCCAAATGACATATTGGATCAGGCCCATCTTTCAAGGGCTGAAGAGTAAAGATGTCACCTTTGAGGATATAGTACACCTGATCCAAGCCGTGGCATTTTCAGTTGCCTCATATACCGGTAGAAGTTGAATAATGAATACAATAAATCAAAGAACTGATGCCTTTGGATTGTGGTGTTGAAGAATATTGAATATACCATGGACTGCCAGGAGAACAAACAAATATTATCAATCAGAATGTCATAAAATAGGACTGACATGGGGTTGCGTTGTGTAGAGAATAGGAAAAGCGTGGGTAGAAAATGAGCAGTGCCTTGGAGCAGGTGAGGGGAAGGACTGTCTGAAAGGAATGTATGGTTAATCATTCTTAGTATGAGAACAATCTGGAACTAGAGGTGCATTACAAAGTGGACTGGGAAGGGGAGGAAAATGTGCAACAAGGAATGAAAACACAACCTTCCTGTAAACTTCCATTAAAATCACATAAAAATGTTTTTTAATGTTCCATGGAGGCAAGGATGGTAAAATTATCTCACATGCTTTAGACATATTATCAGAAGGGGCCAATCCCTGAAGAAGGACATCATGCTTGGTAGAATAAAAGGGTCAGTGAAAAAAGAGGAAGAACTCGGTGAGACGGACTAACACAACTGCAGCAGTGGTGCAGATGCCACAGGACTAGGCCAGTTCTGTTGTATTTCAACCTGATGGCACCTAACAACAAGCCTTGCCGCTTGAAATAGGAAAACTGCTCACTGATTGTTAGGCCAGTTCAGCCCTTTTACAATATACAGAGATGCTAGGATACCGATACTTCATAGATAAATTTAATAGCCCGCCAGATCGCCATAATCCACAGATTGCTACACCACCGAGTCCTTCAGAGTATTCCGAGATTCGAGGTTGTAGATCCAGTGATCAGAGGGGGCTTAAACGTCTTAAGAAAGAGGAGAAACTTGGGTTCCAGAGGCTGAAGTATTTCCAAGGTGGCACTGGCTTTTATCTGTTGTACAAAAAGTCATCTTTGGCTACAAGGTAAAGTGTTAACTACATGCCACATGCAATGCTAAGCACTAGAGAGAGGTAGGAAGGTGAATCAGAGGTTCATGGCTGACTTCAACCACAAGAACAGGAGAGTGCCATGAATCATGCCACAGGGTCTACAAGAGGCAACTGTCCTGGCTCATGCGAGCAGGCTGATGGCATCTCATCCCAATTCTGAGTTCCTTAACATCAGATTGGTAACTTGAATGTGTCCATGGCCAGAGTATTTACACCACAGAAGTTGACCAGTGTTAACAGAGCTTAAAAAAACAAACCATCCAACCCGGAGCATGTTCCAGTATTCACCAGCCACACACCCTGGCTTTGTGCTCCCTTGGTAGTACTGTGGTTTTAGGAGGATGTGGAACCAAAGCAAACAACTGCCACAGAGCAGCACCCCATGAGTGGAGTGGCCCAGGACGTTACCCAGAGGGCAGAACTAGAACCCTCCAGTTGCACACTGATGTCGCTGATTTTTTTCCCCATGGGTCTGAGCGCCTGCCTCATGGTCTCTTTGGCTATTGAAGGGATGTGAGAGGGAGAATGCAAACAGGTTTGGAAGTGCTAGCAGTCAGTGGTCTGGGTGAAAAATACTCTATGAGTTGGAGAAGCAGTGACAACCGTCAGGCTCCCACCAGAACAACAGGCTTTGGTTGGGCATGAGGTTTGTGCTCCATCACGTCAAGGGAGGTTTTATATGCAGGGACTTTGGCTTCAGAGAGTGACCAGACCACATTTGAGAGGTGAGATCTCTGGCTGTGCCACAGTCCTCTCCGGGGTTGTCAGACTGAGCCCTGTGCTTTCTCTGTCCTTTGTGGGGAGTCTGAGAAGGCCCAGATGACACTGTGAGGGAGGGAACATCTGGGCTTCCAGCCTGGGAAGAGGACTCTCAAAAAGTGACACGCAGAAATGGTTGGAGAGTTCCACCACTTCTGTCAGAAACCAGAGTAGAAGGAAGTAGGAAGCAAAGACCCGGAATGATCTATTTTGATAACAACCAACCAGTTTGACAGCATGCGTTAAAGCTTTGCGAAGAACATGCCTGCCCAGCCAGAGGCCATGTGCTGTGAAATCCAGCTGTGAACAGCTCACTGAGTAGTTGAGAAGGGGAGCTTGCTTAAGATCACACCATCAGAGAATGACAAGTTCAGGGACTGAAACTCAGGCCTCTGTATCTGAGTAATACATTTTTCTCTCCTCACCACACTGCCCTCTAGGAAGGTGAAAGGCTGCCATGACAGCAGAGGTAAGGCATCTCGGGAACACTGGGAGAGGCCACTCAGCAATGGCATTAGCAGACCTTTCTTTTCACAACAGGCACTCTGATATATGTAATGCATCACAGTGGAAGGGAGTGTGGGGGGCATATATTAGGTGCTAGGGGTCACATCAGGACCTTGAAATCAGGACAGTGGTAGGTCAGATCTTTGGTCTCTGAGGAGAAAGGGGGCAGCTCACCCAGAGGGTGAGGCCATACCCAGCAGCTGCAGGGTGGGAATCCTGGAAGGGAAAATAAAGGAAGGATTCAATGCCCTGCCTAACCTGGCTACCCATGCAGAAGGTGGAGAGGCACATCTATGGCTGAGCTGTGGGCTGCTCCATCACAGTGTCAGACTTCTCCCCCAGCTCCATAATGTGAAGGCTGAGGTGGTCCCTCCACGCCCCACTCAGCAGGGAGGACAGCGCTGGTGGGTCTTCCATGGTCAAGTGGGGAAATACATGCATTTCACTTTTGAGGGGGAAACCACATTTCTCCACAGCAGGTCTGGTGGTGCCAGGGGTCACCACAAAGAGGCGGCAGAGCCACGGCCCGCCCGCTGGCTGGCAGGCTGGCTGGTTGGTGAAATTGTTCAGGGTCTGACACAGGACCCAGTCCTCTGTCCCAGCCATGTCCACCACCTTCACAGGTGACTCCAGGCTTGGGAGGTGCAGGAGGTGCCGGGGAGGCATGTAGGTGTGGGAGAAGAGCAGTGTGTAGTGGGTGGGTGGACCTGGGGGCACAGGGGCATGAACTACTTGCTCCAGGTGTCCCAGGCTGGGCACTAGGCCCCCCTGGTGCAGGCATCCAAAGACGAGTGCCCCTAGGGCGTTAAAGAGGACCAGGGAGCCCTGGCAGGGCACGGGCTGGGCCTGAGGACTACAGAGAAGGACCAGGGGCACCAGAAGGGGGATGAGGAACCGAGCCTCCTGGTGGCTAAAGGCAGACAGCAAGGCCAACGGTGTGAAGTAGAAGAGAAGGAGGTAAGACCTGGGACTGCCCATCAGGTTCTGGGCCCCCGGCAGCCTGAGGAAGCCCATTTTTGCAAAGGGCTGGAAGCAGGTTTGCAATTGCTGCCACACAGCCTGCAGGGCCCTGACATGCAGTGGCCCGAAGAGCAGGAAGCCGTTGGCTGCCAAGTGGGTGAGCCGCATGTGTGTGCCGTGCCTCGCCAGGTTCTGAGGGTCCAGATTGTAATGCAAGAAGTTGGCAGGAGTCAGGACAAATGGGTTCCCTCTAGATGGGCTAGAGAAGTACCAGCTGTCCACGGCCACAAATGTAGCTGCCGTGAGGGCCGCCCCGGGGAGCAGTGTCAGGGCCTCCTGGGCCAGTGACTTGAAGCCACGGTTTGGGGCTCTGTCAGTGCCCCAGAGGAAGAGGGGGACCACAGCAAAAGCCAGAAAGGTGGGCCGGTTGAAGAAGCCAGCAGCTATGATGCCCCCGAGAAGCCAGCGGTGCCACCAGGGGTCAGGAGCAGGCTGCTTGGGTGTGGAGCTCTCAGCCGCGTGGGGAGACACCAGCACTAGCAGCCACGCGAACAGCAGCCCCTCAATGGCGTTGGAGAAGGTCCTTGTGTAGTAGACTAGCGTGACGTAGGAGCCAGCCAGGAGGGCCAGGGCATTCCAGCGCTCCGCCCCCCACCGTGGGGCCAGATGGTACACGGCCCAGTCCAGGGCAAAGGAGAGGACGGTGAGGAGGAGCCTGGGTCCCACCAGGAGCATGTAGGCATTCACCAGGCCCGGCTGAGGCCGCAGCTGTTCCCAGAGCCTAAGGAGCCAGAAGGCAGAGCCAGAGGTCAGCAGCGGGAAGACCACCGTGCGGCAGGAGCTGCTCAGGCCAAACTCCCAGGGCCTCGCCGCCTCCGTGCCCAAGATGTCTTCTGCAGAGAGAGAGGCAGAGGTGAGAAAGACCACCCTCGGGACAGGTGGCAGGTGGAGTTCTAGGATGGCCCCCAAGATTCCCTACCTTTCTAGCGCACCAAACCCCAAACTCCAATCCTGTTATGTCTGGTTGATTCTGACTCATGGTGACAGCCTCCAGTAAAGAGTTGAATCTCTCCATAGGGTTGCTGACTGTAAGCTTTATGGGACAAGATGCCCTGGTGGCACAATGGTTAAGTATTCGGCTACTAACGGAAAGGTTAGCAGTTTGAATCCACCCAGGGACTCTGTGGGAGCAAGAACTAGTGATGTGCTTTTGTAAAGACCAGTCTTGAAACGTCCGTGGATTAGTTCAACTTGGTCACATGGGGTTGTTGAGTTAAAATCGATTTGGGGAAGGAGGATAGAAGGAGAATTGATGCCTTTGAGCTGTGGTGCTGGAGAAAAGTATTGAGGGTACCATGTACTGCTAGGAAAACAAACAGATTTGTCCTGGAAAGGGTCAAACCAGGTGGCTCCTTGGAGGCAAGGATTTTGAGGCTCCATCTAACATACTTTGGACATGTTGTGAGGAGAGACCTGTCCTTGGAGAAGTACATCATGCTTGGGAGGGTAGAGGGACAGCGCAGGATGTGAAGGCCCTCTATGAGGTGGATTGATTCAGTGACTGGGATAATTGGGATGGGTGTATCAGAGACAGTGATTGGCACAGGACAGAGCAGGGTTTAGGGCTGTTGTACACAGGGTCGTTATGAGTCACAAGTGATTCGACAGCACATAACAACAGCAACACAATCTTTATGGAAGGTGATCATCAGGCCTTTCTTCCATGGTGCCAATGGGTGAGTTCAAAGTGCCAGCCTTGAGGTTAGTAACTAGTGCAAACCATTTGTATCACACAGACACCAGTGTACCCCAAACCAAAATCAAACTCACTTTTGTTGAGTTGATTCTGACCCAACTGGACCCTTATACAGCCGAGTAGAACTGCTCGGGAGGTTTCCCTGGCCGTATCTTTCTTCTGTGGAGAAGTGGGTGGGTTTGCACTGCAAGCAAGCGCTTTTAACCCCTGCACCACGAGGATGACTCCGCGTGCCTGTGCACCCTGCATGGTCCCCAGGACTGTGAATACAATGATTTATTCTCTCAGTGATCAACTTTTACTATATGATACAGGCGATAAGATAATTACCAGGTGTACCTTCAAAGGTGGAGATCTTTCTGCAGGGGGTCGCAGACCCGGGTGGTCCAGGGTCAAGGAGGTTTGGAGAGGCCAATGTGGGCTTGAAAGGGGAGAGGGCCCTGGGCGAGAATGTGGGCAGCCTCTAGGAGCTGAGAGCAACTCCAGACAAGGAAACAGAGCCCGAGTCCTACCGCCTGAAGGAGCTCTATATTGCCAACACGCATGAGCTTGGACGCAGATCTTCCAGCAGGAGCTCAGCCCTCAGAGGCCGCTGTCAGCCTAGTGGATCCGGAGAGCAGCGCCAGCTTCCGACCTGCAGGCCTGTGAGGCCGCAAGGGGGCGCAGCGGCAGCCTCCAGGCTGATGAGGGCTCATCAGGCAGCTCAGTCTTTTTTTTTTTTTTTAATTTAAAAGAAAGCTTACAGAGACTTAGGGTTGCCAATCATTCATTGTTGTACTTTTCTCCCTGCCCACCGCTACCCCCCAATTCACTCTTCTTGAAAAGTAAAAGGAAAACTCTTTTATTGTTATGCAATCCCTCCCCCCAAGTCCACTCCACTGTGCAACATTGTCATGACAATAATACCCAATCATATATCCCTTTTAAACTGTTCTCTCCCTCATCTGTTTAAATGCAGTGTACATTATTCCTCTCCTCCTCTGTCTTCCCTCAACCCCGATGTCAGTTCCATTTTACAACAGTGGCCCTATGCAATATTTGTCCTTTTGTGACTGAGATATTTCACTCAGCATAATGTCCTCCAGGGTCATCCATTTTGCATAATATTTCATGAGTTCCTTGTTTTTCAATGCAGTGTAGTATTCCATTGTGTGAATACCAGAGCTTCTCTATCCATTCGTTTGTTGATGGGCACTTGAGTTGTTTCCAGCTCTGCTATTGCGAACAAAGCCGCAATAAACATGGGTGTGCATATATCTGCTTGGGTGTCAGTTATGGTTTCTTTAGGGTATATTCCCATTAGTGGAATTGCTGGGTCAAATGGTATTTCTATTTGCAACTTTTTGAGAAAGCGCCATACAGCTTTCCATAGTGGTTGCACCATTTTACACTCCCACCAACAGTGAGTAAGGTTTCCAGTTTCTCCACAACCTCGTCAGCATTTGTGGTTTGCTGCTGTGTTAAATTTTGCTATATTCTTACTGGGGTGAGATGATATCTCATAGTTGTTACTTCCAGCCCTTCTTAGGAAGGCTTTCTTGCAAAAGGGAAGGAGGAAAGAAAGGAGATAAACTGTGCCCTGGGCGAGTGTGTGAGTGGGAAGAGGGTGGGGAGTCCTTCCGCTCTCAGAGCTGTAAAATATAAAATCAGATTAAAAAATCCCATCTTGATAAGAATGCTTATAATCAAGGAGCTGTGTCAGTGCAATCAAGGCAAGCACGGAATTACTAGTACTTCCCTAACAATTTTTCACTAATTCAAAGATTCCGCTTTAGGTGTGGCTGACATCTGTTCCTATCCCAACTCCACAGCAGCTTCTTACTGAATCAAAGCCGTTTGCCAGATTTACAGCCTCTCACAAGGATGGCTGTATTTGTTATTTGAAACAAGTCAACTGGTGTCCCATAGACTCCAGGGGCCTTATTTTTTTTTGCCAGTGCATTCAGTGTAACTTGAACTTCTTCCTTCATTACAATTGTTCTTGATTATATGGTATGTACTGAAATATTTCAGTGCTGACCATTTTTTTTTTTTTGGTACAGTGACTGTACGAAAACCATCTTCTTTTAATACTTCCTGGAGTTTTCAATATTTTGACCATAGCATCTCTAAGTAGTGCAATTTGAGGCTTAAATTTTTTTTTTCAGCTTGAGAAATGCTGAGTTCTTCCTTTTCTATGCCCTGACTCCAGATTTCTGCACATTTTATTATAATACTTTGTCTTCTTGAGCTGCCTTTTGTTCAGGTCTTTTTCTTCTCAACACTCTAGTAAAATTTTTGGTCTCTCCAGACATCCATTTTGCTTTTTTTCTTTGTAGTGACCTTTTGCTCTATTCATGGATGATAACCTTAATGTTATTCCACACCTCATACGGCTGTCAATCATTGGCTGCCTCAAACCAATTCTTAAGATGATTTTAAAATTTAGATGGATAGACCTATTTTGGCTCCTATGGACTTGTCTTAATTTTCTTTATACTCAATTTGAACTTGTCATCAGTACTTGATGGTCTGTCTGTCAGTCAGCCCCTGGCCTGGTTTTGACTGCTGGTACTCTGCTTCTCTGACCATTCCATCCACAGATGTAATCAATCTGATTCCTACACAGTCCATCAGGTGAAGTCCATGTGTAAAGTCACCATTTGTGTCTTATAAAAGGCATTTATGATTACTAAATCATTAAGCATACAAAATTCAATCATTTGATTTCTGGCCTTATTTCTGTCACCAAGTCCATACTTTCTGTCATTTCACCTTTGTTGTCTCCAGCTTTTGCGTTCCAGTCACCAGTTGTCCTTAACACATCTAGATTGCATGTTTGGTCAATTTCAGACTGTAAAATTTGGTCAAGATCTTCAATTTCCTCCTCTTTGGCTTTAGGTATAGATGTGGATATTTGAATAATAGTCATATTAATAAGTCTTCCTTTTATGCGTGTGGATAGTATCCTATCACTCACAACATTGTACTTCAGGATAGAACTTGAAATTGTTTTTTTAACTATGAATGCAACACCACTCTTCCTCGGTTTTTCATTCCCAGTATAATATATCAGGTAATTGGCTGGTCAATGCCAGTCCATCTCATCTCACTAAAGCCTAGGATGTCAATGTTATTTGTTCCATTTCGATTTTCACAACTTCTAGTTTTCCTACATTCATACTATGTACATTTCATGTTCCAATTAATAAGGATGCTTGCAGTTATTTCCTCATTTTTATTTACTTCCAAACCTCTACCTCTAATACTATAGCTGAGTTCCTGTATTCACGGGTTTTTCAGAAGCCTGCTATTTCAGAAGTGAATGACCAATTCTGCTTCCTAGTCTCTCTTAATCTAGGAGCTGTGCTGAAACCCACCCCACCGTGGGTTCCTCTTCTGGCATTTGACGCACTGGTGGAGTAGCTTCCAGCATCACAGCAACTCACAAGTGACCCCTGTGCCAGGAAATGTGGAAGACAATTACCTGGCCGACTGACTGGAAGCAATCCATATTTGTTCCCATTCCCAATAAAGGTGATCCAATAGAATATGGAAACTATCAAACAGTATCATTAATGTCACATGAAAACAAAATATTGCTGTAGATCATCCAAAATCATCTAGAACAGTACATTGACAGAGAAATGCTAGAATTTCAAACTGGCTTTAGAAGAGGTTATGGCACCAGGGATATCATTGCTGATGTCAGATGGATTGTGGCAAAGAATATCAGAAGAATGTGGTGTATTTGTGCTTTATTGAATATGTGAAGATATTTGACTGTGGATCATAATAAATTATGGCTAACACAAATTATGGGAAGACTTGGAATCCCAGAACACTTAATTGTGCTCTCATGAAACATACACCTAGATCAAGAGGCTGTTTTCTGAATAGGGCAAAGGAATATTGTATGGTTTAAAATAAGAAAAGGTGTGCACCTGGTTTATATCCTGTGTGGTGAGAAAATCATTCAAGAAGCTGGACTCTATGAAGAATGTGGCATTAGGATTGGTGGAAGACTCATCAACAACCTGTGTTATGCAGATGATACAACTTGTTTGCTGAAAGTGAAGAGGACTTGAAGCATTTGCTGCAGAAACCAAATACTATAGCCTTCAATATGGATTACACCTCAACATCAAGACAAAAGTT